TTATTATTATTATTATTATTATTATTATTATTATTTTCATCATCATCTATTGAACAGTTAGCCAGATGTTCAGGCTGGGTTTGACGAACGCAAGAAAACGTGCTTAATGGATATAGAGCCTGATTAAGAATATAGATAATGCTATAAAGTAATGTATGAAGAGTTTAAAAAGAAAAAAAGGGAATAGGTAATGAGATTATGGAATTGGATAAGGAATTTAAATATGTAACCGTGGACAGGTTTGTCCTGAAAGGAAAAACCTGGAACCACAATTGTTCACTCCAAGACATGTTTCAAAAAATAAAAATAAAAAATTATTGCAAAAAAAAAGAAAAGAAAATTCCCTTCTGGGGTTCTTGGTGAAGTTCCTTGAATTTTTACAGGTGACAATGAGGAGGGAGGGGTCCAGAAGTGACATAAGCTGCATTTAAAGCCCCCCACTTCAATGAAGGCATGCACCAGCTGCTCTACTTCCCTTTTAATCTGATTTTTTTTAATAATAAAAAAACCCACAAATATATCGCAAGAGGCTTGTGAGAGTAAGCAACATTTGATCTTACTCTGCAAAAATCTCTCCCCCCCCCCCCCCCCCCCCCTTCTCACAGCCAGACATTGTATTTTAGACATTTTTCATGGTCCCAACATCTTTTAAACGCTGATTATTCCTCCTATATTTTCCTGTTTAAAGATTCAGCGTTTGACATTTCGCTGCCAGGCAGACTCGGTCCTCGGTCCAAAAGGAAGAACCCGAGGTGTCCTCGTCTTACGACCATTTTTTTTTTTTAAAGTGACCGAAGTTTCTGGGAGAAAATATAAAAGGGCACTTAGGGGCACAAATCCTCGTGCTTATGACCGTCACAGAATCCCCTACGGTCACGTGATCGCAAAAAGCCAGACGCTTGGCAACCGGTATGCGTTTATGCCAATCCAAACCCTGGAGTGGGGTGTGTGTGTCACGTGATCACCACCCTATCCAGATTTAACAGAGTTAGAAGGGACCTTGGAGGTCATCTAGTCCAACCCCAACCCCCACCCCCGGCCAAGCAGATTGGTCATTTTGATTGATGGCAGTTCAGTCTCTTCTCCAAAGCTTCCAGGGATGAAGCTCCCACACCTTTCCGAGGGCAACTTCTGTTTCAGATTACAGATTAACAGAGTTGGAAGGGACCTTGTGGGTCATCTAGTCCAACCCAACCAAAAAACAAAACAAAACCCAAGCGCCACTCACTGAACAAGGGGAAAAAAAGGTGTGGATGCCTTCCCCCTCCCCGGAAAGCAAGCCAAACCTCTGCGTGACTGTTCCTTGCAAAGGACTCAAAGCAAGGTAAACCATGAATGCTGGTTTATGTTGGCCCCAAAGACCAGGCAGGACGTTAAAACCTTGGAAGGGAGAAATGCTGGTTTGTTTTGCTGGATATGATGGATAGCCTCCCCCCCTCCACAAAAAATGATCTTTTAAGCGAACATATCCCAGTTTCCAGAGGATCCACGCCGAGCGACATTCCAAAGGTGAAGTTAGTTATTAAAGGTTTATCCGCTTCCCCACGCAGCAGCTGGGAATGAAGGAATGAACAAACTATGGCTTCTGCCAAACCGGTCTGACGGGGGCCTCCGCCAAGGCTGGGCCGATCCTTGGCAATAAACCACTTTTAGCATCCTCCCCTTCAAAGGGAGAGAGAGAGAGAGAGATACAGGTGCTCTTTCCCCTCCTCACCTGCCCTCCGGGGTTCAAAACCACCCAGGATCTGACCCCCTATTTGCAAAGATCACCCAGGAAGGTGGGCAAAAGGGGTGGGGTGGGGGTGGAGAAATCACCCCACACACCTGGCAAAGTTGCATAGGGAGAGAAAGAAACCCCCCCAAAATAAAATAAAAATAAAATTAAGGTTTTGGAAGCCGAAAAGCCAACGCAGCAAAAAAAAAAAAGGCCAAGGTTTTAGGCTGAGCTGGAATGGGGTGGGTGTGTTTGTGTCTCTCTGTGTGTGTCTGTGTCTGTCTGTGCGTGTGTGTGTGTGTGTTTGTGTAGGTGTTGCCTGAACCAAGGATGACCAAAAAAAATACAGACAGGCAACCAAGTGCCCTCCAGATGTTCTGCAGATGTCCCTTTCCTCCCAAACACCTGGACAAGTATTTGTGGCACGAAGAAACGGAGAGTTAGATTCTGGTTGAATTTAAGAAAAGGTGTTTTTTGGGGGGGGGGGTAGGGAGGAAAGGGGTCAGGAAAAGGGGGGGGAAATGCAGGAATTAAGTGGGCAAGGGGGGTGTCAATCACCTCCCCCCCAGGTCTGAAATGGGGAGGGGGCTGCCTTGAGGTACGACGGTTGTGTATGTGTTTGTCTTCGAAATTAAACCTCGAGTTCCCACGGATGGCTGCAAAAATAAAAAATAAAAATCGCAGTTGGGAGAATGGTGTTGTCTGACGTCTCCACTTCTGACTCAGTCGGTCTCTCTCGGCCCCGGATTCGAGTCGCCCACAATAACTGCCTCGTGTGTTTTCTCTCTCACCCTCATCCAGCCCATCCTAAAAACACAACCCCTCCCTCTGTTTTTTTTTCCTCCCCCCAGGAGCTGTCATCGCCAGGCGCTGGACCAAACAACTCCGTCTGTCTCAGAAAAGTTGGAAAAACTTTGCAAGATGTTTGTCCCCGAAAAAAAGGGATAAAAAAAAACAAAACCCAAGGAACGCTTCCTGCCCCGGATAACCCTTGGCGCCGTCCCTTGGCCGCTAGCCAAGCCTGGCGGGAAGGAAGAGGCCCGAGGCCAACGGGGCGCCTGGCCTGGGAAAGGAGGACTTGGCTGACCGGCCTGGGGTTCTTTCCTCCCCGCGCCTGGCCTTGCCAAGATTTTCCACCTGGTTGAGTTTCTGCAATGTGGATCCAAAGTCCAGCCTTTTTAAAGCAAAAAAAAGGGGGGAGGGGGGAGGAGTAGAAAGGAGGGAGGGGATGTTTGGATGGGGCATTCCTTCTATGAAGGCCAGAGACCCTCCTTGTTTTTGCCCCGGGAGGTAGAGGGGAGGTGTTGTAAATGCTCCAAGAGTGGAAGTTTTTTTTAAAGGAGAGATTGGATAAACCTACTTGCCAGAA